CTCCGTCACGTCACATAATTACCGTTTCTTTTTTGCAGTGAGATTTAAGACCTACTCCCTCAGCAACTTTCAAGCATACAGCACAGTACTGTTAACTATAATCACCACCCTATGCTTAGATCCCCAACATGTGTTCAACTTTCAACTGAAGTTTGTATTTTTTGACCAACATCTCCCTCTGTTCCCCACCCCCCCCATAAAGAAAATGTGTTATATGCTATATACACAGTGGAATATTATTCAGCCATGAGAAAGCAGGAAATCTTGCCATTTGTGACAACATAGATGGACCTTGAGGCCATTATGCTAAGTGAGCTAAGTCAGACAAAGAAAGACAAATACCGTATGCTCTCACTCATATGTAGAATCTAAAAAAGCCGAAGTCATAGAAACAGCAGAATTTCACTCCTTTCTTGGTGAAGCTGTCCACGGCAGGGCCTAGCTGAGGAGGGAGTTGGAGTCACAGACAGGCATACAGTGACCTTAAGGTGACAGGGTCGCTGTGAGTGAAGAGAGGAGTGGGAGAGGCCTCCAATTTTTTTTTTCATCTCCTTCGTTTCCTTCCACAAGATTTTTGTTTTCCCTTGAAAATTTCCTTTGACATTCCTTTGGCAAAGGGATTCTGAGAATGAGCAGGGAAAGAACAGAGTCTGCCCTCACGAGACAGCTCTCGGATAAAACCAGCAGGGCAAAGGTGGACCCACACTCAAGGTGGGAATGCTTGACCACGTGTCCCCAGCTCAACAGGCTCTGAGCTGCATGGGGAGCAAGAACGCACGGCTTGGAGCAGATGGTGTCGTGGGTCTGGCTGGTAGGGACGAAGCAGAACACCTCAACCCTTTCTTTTGCTCCGTGTGGCTCCATCAAAGAGGAGCGTATGGGGGCGCCTGGGTGGCGCAGTCGGTTAAGCGCCCGACTTCAGCCAGGTCACGATCTCGCGGTCCGGGAGTTCGAGCCCCGCGTCGGGCTCTGGGCTGATGGCTCGGAGCCTGGAGCCTGTTTCCGATTCTGTGTCTCCCTCTCTCTCTGCCCCTCCCCCGTTCATGCTCTGTCTCTCTCTGTCCCAAAAATAAATAAACGTTGAAAAAAAAAAATTAAAAAAAAAAAAAAAGAGGAGCGTATGCAAACCCAAAGGACTAAAACAAACACATTAAAGAGAGAATTGGGGCACCTGGGTGGCTCAGTCGGTTAAGCAGCCGACTTCGGCTCAGGTCGTGATCTCGCGGTCCGTGAGTTCAAGCCCCCCGCCGGGCTCTGTGCTGACGGCTCGGAGCCTGGAGCCTGCTTCGGATTCTGTGTCTCCCTCTCTCTCTGCACCTCCCCTGCTCACCACTCTGTCTCTGTCTCTGTCTCAAAAATAAGTAAACATTAAAAAGTTTTAAAACAAACACGGGAACCGTTTGTTGCCTGTGGGAGAGCGATGCCTATGGGAAGACAGTACGCTGAATGGTCGTTGGGTAATGTCTCAAGGTGGGTATTCTCCAAACTTTCTACAAAGAATATGTATTTATTATATTGGAAAATATCTGAACATTTTTATTTTGAGAAATAAAGAGAGAGGGAGGGAGAGGGGAAAGGAAACGAAGAGAAGGAAAAGAAAGAGAGAAAATCGGACTCAACATACATAGAGTGACTCTGGTCTCTTGAGGAGCTCATGGCAAGACCTCAGGGGCCGGGACAGAAGCGCCGGCAGGCATCTTGGAGGGATTACAGAGAATGCAGAAATGGTGAACTATTAACAGCCTATGTCCTGAGTTTTAGAACAAAACATTAAATCCCAGTAAGGGCAGCCTGGCAATTTTGATAAAAATCCTTGGCAAATTCCTGAGTCTAAGGACTTGGCGGAACAGGAAACAACAATCCCTGGGAGCAGCGTGAGTCCACCAGGATGAGCCGTGCCAGACTGAATTCCTATCCTGAAGGACACTCAGAATGGGAGGGACAAGGGAGTGCCTGTGACAAAGGGCGGTGATGGGACGATTCAAGGAACACATTCCCCAAAGCCTCTGAGCCCTGAATAAGAAGGCAAAGTGTTGCCTGACTAATGGCACGGGCACGGGGTGGGGGTGGGGCGGGGGGCAGGGGAGCAGCGATGGGGCCCAAATGCAGGCAGCTCCAACACCACCAGAGGCTCAGCCCTTGACCTTGTCTGCTCCACCCTTTCCTCAACGACTTGGATGAAGCAGAACAGAAGACGGGCTTATCAAATTTGCAGTTGACGCAAAGCCAGAGGGATTGTTCATAGAAAGGATGGCAGGATCGAGACTCAAAAATATCTTGACAGGTTGAAATAATGGGCCAAAACCATGTAAAAGGGATAAATGTAAATTCCTGCGTTTAGGTTTTATAAAAAAAAAAAAAAAAAAGGTTTCATAAACATCAGATGCGAGAAACGGGGTTTAAAGCAGAAAAGAAGCAGGCTGGAGCCAGCATGGCAAGCTCCGCATCTCGGATCAGGGGAAGGAAGAAAGAAGAGACGGCATTCAGTAGGTATACCAGGAACTGTACCGGATGCTTGAAGTGATTGCACCCCATTTCCATGGGCAGGCACTATTGCTGAGCCCATTTCACAGAAGAGAAAACAGGGTCGGTGACTGTCATTAAGTGATTAAATGATTCCTGGCGAACTATTAGTGATTCACATCAAGCTATCGGAGTTAAGCTACAAAGTGATGAAGACAGTATTTGAATTCAGGTCGTCTTGTCTCCAGGGCTCATCGTGCCCCTCCTTCAGCGGGTAAATCTTGATTAATCAAAGCTAATCGCAGCGATTCCTTTCTCGTCGCCACTTACAGTTTCGCACAGCATCCAACGCTGGCCAAAGGGACATGGGGCAGGGACTCTTGGGGGGCTTTTGGTAAAGGTTTCTTCTTTCTTAAAAAGAACGCCTAGAAACACCTGCCCCTGCCCCTCTTCGGCCTCTACACCTGGTTAGCATGTGAGGTCTGGAACTGCAGCAGCCAACTGGGCACCTTGAGGAATCTGGAAGGATCAGACCAGCCAAGTGAGGGGTGTATGGGGTGGACAAATGAAAATGCCCCAGGTCATTGACGGCTGTATTGGGGCCCTGAACTAACCCCACACACTCCACCTTAGGACTTTTTGAGAGGTAAGCCATTTTTCTAATTGAGCCCCTTTCGCTTGGGTTTTCTATTGTATTCTACCTGTAAGCATCCTAACACACAAGGCCAAGGGAGTCCCCTTTAATGGCCTTGGCAAGATTACATTTGGAGGCTATGCTTACAAACTAAGTCAGACCTGACCGAGATGATGAGGAGCCCGGCACCCATTCCCCTCTCCATCTCTCCCCCACTGGCCACCCACCACTCACTTACCGTGACCTGGGGAGTTTGCCTGGAGAGAAGATACGGAAGGGAAATACCATGACGGTATTCTTCAAATACTTAAAAGGCTGCAATTTAGAAGAGCGACCCGACTTTTTCTGAGCTCCTCCAGATGCAGAGCTGGCACTACTGAGAAGAGGTTACCAGGAAGCAGATAGTGGTTTGGCGGGATCGGGCTGTCCTCCACGGGATACGTGTCTGGTAAAGAAGAGAGAGTCTGGCATCGCTGGAGGTGCCCCAATAGCAGTAAAGTGGACACCAGAAAGTGGTTTTCAAATCCAGATTTCTGGGATTCTGTGTTAGGCATATGGGATGCTACTAGAGCCTTCCTGGAAAAGAATCAAGTAGAAGACCAAGTGTCTGCCATCTTCCCTCTCTCCAGCTAGAGTGAGACCCTGCCACCGAGAGTCAGTTCTGGGAAGAATTGTGGGCAGGGGATGTGGTAAGTGCCCAGTAGGGAAAAAGAGCCAGTGTCCAGTGAGAAGTCAGAGGTGGAGAGAGCCCTTCCAGGAGGAAAGGTCAGAGAGGGAGGCCTGGAGCAAGAACATGTGAGCTTGAGTACTCTGGCCAGGCTTGGGTCACATGGTCACCGTTGACCTGTAGGTGGGTTCTATTACCCGAAGACCGTGGGTGGGTCGGTGCAAGCAAGCTGGGGATGGGAACAAACGTCCGTCAGCAGGCAGCGCTGTCCCAGCTAAATGACGCTGAGGCCCGCCTGCAGAGCTGAGGCCCCAAGGGAGCAAGGAAGTGTCTTCGGAACAATGTGAGCAGGGCTTAGTGACTGGGCAGGATGCGGCTGTTCCCAGTGCCTGCAACATCCCCATACACGCGCATTCAGGTGGGCTCGCTGATTCCTCCAGCCCTGCAGGGTCAGACCTACCTCTATTCCCAGGACCAGTCTTCACCGGAGGCAGGAGGAATTTGAGTAGCCCTAACTGTGGATTCTAGGACTCAGCAATGTCATCTGTGCTGCTGCTATGATGCTGACTCTGTGCCCCAGTTTGCTGGCAGGGCTTCCTGTTGTTCCGAAGACACTTCCTTGCTCCCTTGGGGCCTCAGCTCTGCAGGCAGGCCTCAGAGACATTTAGCTGGGACAGCGCTGCCTGCTGACGGACGTTTGTTCCCATCCCCAGCTTGCTTGCACCGACCCACCCACGGTCTTCGGGTAATAGACCCCACCTACAGGTCAACAGTGACCACGTGACCCAAGCCTGGTCAATCAGAGTACTCAAGCCCCTTACTCCAGGGATCGGCTCAGAGACTGGATATACCGATCAGAGCCCTTCCCCAAGTCTGTTCTAGCTGGTGAGCCCTGGCTCCTTTGATCACAAGACAGGAGAGCTGGCATTAGGCCTCGTGGCCACAGGGGGACCTGGCCTCCTCTACTCTGGTCCCTGCATTTGCCTGGTTTCCTGCACTTTCTCAGAAGTGGAAACTGGCCTCTGCTTCCCACCCAGTGAGACCCCATGTTTTCCTCTGCAGTTTGTTGGGGTTTCTGTAACCCCAAAGAGCTCTGACTCATACCCTCGCCTTTTCCATCGCTTGAGAGCTGCCCCGGTGCCAGAACCTTCCATCAGCAGCCACATCCAAATGAAGTCTCCAGGCCCTGTGTCTAAGGGTGTTCAGCCCTGCTCTTCTGCTCTGTCTTACTGACAGGTCACCAGGCGGTGCTGTGCCCTGGCCTGACTGGAGACAAGAGCATGCAAGGCAGGGTGTGAGCCAAAGACAGGAGCACCGTGCGGGGTAAATGCACTCATGAAGTTCACTTACTTATTCATTCAGCAGCTACGCGTTGAGCGTCTGCTATGTTCAAGGTGCTGCGTCCAAAGACTTAGCACAGGGGCTGCAAACCTTTTCTGTAGCTGGGCCAAATAGTAATTATTTTCAGCTTTGCAAGCCCTAAGGTCTCTGTTGCAACGCCTCAGCTCTGCCCTATAGAAAAGCAACCCCAGACAACATCTAGACCAAGGGGCACGACAGGGGTCCCATAAAAATGATCTACGAAAGCAGGTGGTAGGCCAGATTTGGCCGGCTGTCCGTGGTCTGCCAACTTCTGACTTAGGACATACGGTTGGAGAAGGTGATGGGAGATAGATCCGTAAAGCCTTGAATACCAGCCAGAGAAAAATAGATGTTACCGAGTGGCTGATGGGAATCTTGGAAGACGTTTACACTGGAGAATGGCGAGTGCCAGAGGGATGGGTTGGGCATCGGCCTCCTTGCCAGGCAAGCACATGCATTCAATGAATATTCACTGAATGTCTTCCCTCATCCAGGCACCGTTCCAGGAGCAGGGAGATGGCGGTGAGCCAGGCAGGCAAGGTGCTCGCCCTTCATGGAGCTTCTGTTCTACTGAGTGTACAAGGTTCTTTATCATCGAGCCCCAGCCTCCCTCCCCAGCCTCATTTCCTTCTACTCCCCACCTATGAAACCACTCAAAATCCCAAGCGTTCCTCCGGACTTCTATGACTTTGCTGCTACCTCTTCCTGGAATGTCCTTACTGTCCCTCATCCACCTGCAGAAGTCTTTGGAGCCCCGCTGGGCTGCTTCTCCTGTGAAACCTTGCCCCCCCCGCCCCCCACCTACCCCTGGGAGAGTTGGTCACCCCTCCTCCTGGGTCTCCCCGGCCCTTTGTACCTACCTCCGCTCAAGTGCTTCTCACGTGCCGCTGGCGTTCTTCGCATATAAGCCTCTCCACTCTATAGGACTGTCTCGAGCGCCCGGCAGAGGGCCTGACATACACAGGGGCTCAGCGGATGTTTGCTGAATGACTGAATGAAAATAGCTTTGGGAAAGAGAGTTGTACTGGAAGAGCGATGGAGGACACTCAAACCTGAGGGGAAGGCCGTCCGCTACCTTAGGGATCTAAACACTTGAAAGATACAAGGGATCTTATTTGTGGGCTTAAAACTCCTGTCCAAGATTATTTGTCGAGTGTGAACAATAATACAGTCTCCCTCTCTGAAGCACCGTGGCGAGGGCCCCTTTGTCTGATTAAGGGCTGCCGGGAGTGATTGATGGGCTCCCGCCGGACAGCTGAAACCTCTCTCCTCCTGACAGTGCGAGTGATAGCTGAGCGGAAACTGACCCCAGCTGACACACTCATCTTAAAATATCTCTGTCTCCCTGCGGCCCAGATAAAATAGCTGTCGCACTAAAAGTAAGGGCTCCACTCGGGGGGATGCTGGCTTCTCCCAGGACTGGTGATGGAGTGGCCTGTGATGTCAGGGTTCAGCCGAAGTCCAAATCGAAAGGACCCTAAGAAACCGGCCCTAGATGAATTGTGTTCCGAAAGCGGCTTGGTGTTCAACCTCCCAAGGCTGGGCCGGGAAGAACGAGGTACGTCATCAACAACGTCAGGGAGAGTTTATTCAGCATGTATTGGCCTGTGGTGCTGGGTTCAGTTCAGATCAGAGAGAATAATGTAGACACAGGCCTTTCCCACTATACCCTTGCACGCACGCAAAGGAGGAGAATGACCCCAGTCAGTGCCATGGGCCTTTTTGCTTCACAGAGAGCTTTCAGCAGCAGCAACGTAGGTAGAACAGGTATGAACATGATTTCCACCTTAGAGGTGAAGAAACCAAGGCTCAGAGAGGTTAAGTGTCTCGCCCAAGGTCACACAGCTAGAAGGGTCAGAGCAGGGATCCATGTCGGGGCTGGAAACAGCATACTCAAGGGGATAATTAGAGAGGGTTCCGTTTAAGGATTCCTTAAAGAGCTAGGGGCGGGGCTGAGGAAACAACCAGGAAGGAACCCTAAGTGTGCTAAGGAGTGTCCCCCCAAAGATGATATGTCGAATCCCTCACCCCCTGCCCCTACTCCCGAATGTGACCTTATTTGGAAATGAGGTCATCACAGATGTAAATAGTAAAGAAAACGTCATGCTGGAGGGGGGCGGGCCTGTGTCCAATATGACCCGTGTCCTTACGAGAAGAGACAGAGACGCGAGGGGAGCACGCCCTGGGAATACGGAGGCAGACACTGAGGAGGTGTGCTGCCAGCGAGGAATGCCACGGCCCCCAGCACACCACCGGAGGGAAGGACGGGCTCTCCTCTGCAGGGCTAAGAGGCAGCAGGGCCCTGGCAGCCCTCCTAGCCCCCAGAACTGTGAGGGGATACGTTTCAGCTAAGCCGCCTGCTTTGTGCCGTTTTGTTACGGCAGCTCTGGGAAAGGAATTCACTGAGGTCGGCCACACTGCCCCACACCCAGGCCTCTAGGGGTTCGTGTTATAGGAGTCTGGGGAGGGCGGGACCCCCCAGAATAGGGCCTGCCCGACAGGACCGGTGACCCAGCCACTGCCCCTCACTGTCCCCCAAGGAAGGAGCCAGGCAGACAAGCGTCCTTCCTCCAGGCTCCCCTCAGCCCCTGGGGAGGAGCCGGCAGACAGGAGACCAGGGCTGTACGTTTGCCCCCATCAGCTCCCTGGGTCTGAGAGAAGGTGGCAGAAGGTGTGGTGAGGAGCAGGAAGAACAACTCTCCGGCCCTCCCCTGACACTTGCCTCCCACCCACGTGCTCCTTCAGGAAGGGTCCCTGAAGAAGTGGAAGGACTGCTTGTGCTCTTTGGGGACCCTCTGACTTCACGATGACCACAAATGCATGAAAAATGGCAAGAGGATTAACACAGGCCATAAAGAAATAAGTGCACGGGGAAGCACATGCTTGGAGTTAGCCGAACGCACGGGGGTCAGGGACCCCGCTGATACCCCGTTGCCCCCCGTATAAAATAGGAGGCTGTGGTTCCAGCAGGTCAGAAACAGGCCTGGGGAAGAAGACATGGGTGGGATTGGGACCCATTGGCCTGGACAGTCTGGCCCAGGCTGGAGAAGGAAGAAAATTCTGTGTGTGTGTGTGTGTGTGTGTGTGTGTGTGTGTGTGTGTGTAGGGCGTGGAGCAGGAAGCAGTGGGGGAGGCGGCCACCCTGCTCCCTTCACCCAGCAGGCTCGGGGGAGGCCTGGGCTTGTGTGGGGCTTCTGTGTGGGCCTTGAGCTGCCCTGCTCCGTGCCCTAATGTCTGACTCCCGCTCTGGAAGCTGGGGGAAACATCTGTCTTGTTCACACTGTATTTCTGAGGCATAGCACGGGTCCCTCGTAAATATTTGTTGAACAAATGAAAGTGTAAAACCCCAGAGAGAGAGAAAGAGAGAGAGAGAGAGAGAGAGAGAGAGAGAGAAACACTGAGGGGGAGGAGAGGGTTGAGGAAGGGACATCACCTAGGGGTAGACAGAGGCAGGTCACACAGCAGGCCCCAGTTTGCAGGGGCTTCTCTGTGAAGCCAGGGCCCCCCCTGTCTAGTGGGTACCCCCACCCTTCTCAGGCATACCTTGGAGAAACCGGCAGGCTGAACCAGAGAGAGCAATCTGTCCCCAGACCCAGGCCTCACTGTCCCCACTGCAAATTGCTGGGGCTCCCCCAGGCAGGTGGCCTCCTGGGGCCCCAGCACAACGGCCGCCAGGCCCCGGGGCCCATCCACACAGCAGGGTTCTCAGGGAAGCAGGCAGATGGACCGGAGCCTGAGAATGCATGGGAGCTCCTGCTAGGCCAGTAAAGGTCACAGGGACAGGGACGGCCTGCTCCAGCAGACAGACAATAACCGGGGAGAAGGCCCCCAAAGACACGCAGATGGAAAGGTCTGTCCTCACCAGAGTGCTTGACTAAGAGACCGTCCTTCTCCGGCTCGGACTTAAGTTGAGGCTTTAATTATAGCTTGTCACTCACGCGCCTTCCCCGGGAGATGGCCAGCCGGATGGCTAAGGAAATGAAACTCTCGCTTCAGATGGCTCATTCTGTCTGTCAGGAAATTTCAAACCCACAAACAATAGTATCTACGATTGTGGCAGCGAGGCGCCTCCCGAGGGCTCCTCGTGCTCCCCTGCCCCCTGCAGGCCCCCCGGCCGTGGCCATGAACTCATTCCTGCGGCAGGGCGGGACCCCCATCACAAGAGGCCATTCCGGCTCACAGACCGAGAAACTCCACCCAGTGAGGCAAAGTGACAGGCTCAAGGTCACCCAGCAGAGGGTCGGTGGGCCAGGGAGACCCGTGAGCATTGCTTCATGGCGGACTCTTGGTCTCTCTGAAGATGCCCCAGAAAGGAGGGCCCCCAGCCATAATGATGCTAACAGTTTGTCACCGCCTGGTGCCAGGAGCTGAGGCCCTGTACGAATCACCCCACAATCCTCACGGCAGCCCCCACAAACTGCCTGTAATTACCTTCACTGTTCATAAGGAAAAACCAAGGCTAGAGAGCTTGTTCGAGGTCACACAGCTGGAATCAGGACTCGACACCAGGCTTTCCAACGGCAGAGCCTAAGCTCTTCACCCCCACGCTCTCTCCTTACGCCTGTCCCTGGATAAGGACATGGGAGACCTGGAGTTCTTTCCCTTGGCCTCTGCCAGGAGACACAGATTGTTTCTGGAAGCATTCAACAAGGGGCATTCCCCCACAGCACGGAGACGGGCTGTCCTTGAGACCTAGCAGGGCCAGCTGTGAGCCGAAGGGTCCGGGGAAAGGGGTGCCCTTGTATCCATGCCACCAGGTTGGCCAGATGAAGTCCTGCAGGCAGGGAGGGGGGCTGCGGGCTCAGGCCGGGCTCTGGGCAGCTCAGCCGAGACCTGGTGCCCTCGCTGGGTATCTTCACATCCCTCAGCCTCTGGGGCTCGGGCTGAGAATAAGGTTAGGTCCTTAAGAGGTTTGGTTGGGACGGGACATCAGCTCCCTGGGGCAGAAGCGACCTGGAGGGGCACAGGGTGTGCCCTGCGTCCCAAGCCTCTTCCAGCATGCCCCTTAGATTCCCCACTGGAGGTGTCCCAGAGCAGCACAGGGGTAAGCCACTTCGAATGACCTGTGTGGCCAAGGTGTCCACCTGGTTTGGGCAAAGAGCAGAGTTTCAGCCCTAAGACACCCCGGGGCAAGAGAGGGGAACCGCAGTGATGTTCTCATTGGCCCAGAGTCTAGGATTGAGAAGAGCTAATCCAACTTTTGCCTCCCATTTTGCTAGTTACGGGGTCCTTACCAGGTGCCTTAACCCCCGTGAGCCTCAGCTTCCTCCTCTGTACACAGGGATGACTGGCCCCTGCTTCAGGATGGTGACAAGGACTGAGCCAATAGTGCACCTAGCCCCTCAACGGTGTGGGGATGAGGGGTGGGGGAGGGGGAGCAATCTCTAGCCCTGGGATTAGGCCTCGTTCTGTGAGCCTGGACACAAGTGCTTCTTGGCTTTTCTGCTCCCCTTAAGTGGGACAGGAAGGCTCGAGGGGGCCAGGGTCAGGCCTTTCCCTTCCCCCAGGTCAGCCAGGCTCCAATAAAACCCCAGCAGGTCAGGCTCTGGTCACCTAGTTGCTCCTGAGGGCAGGGTGTATCAGGAATAGTATGTTCCAAAGTATTTCAAAATGATCCCTTTCCCATCCCTGTGCAGAAAACAAGACGGGATCTTTCTCCAGTCTTTGCCATGAGAACTTGGGAGCGTTCCGGGAGGGAAAACACACAACCGTTGCGGATGACCGGGTCCCTCTGGAGTTTTTATCTGTCTGGTTTGTCCACGCCGAGCTTGGGCAATCCAGCAACCCATCGATTACCGTGCCAGTTTTCCTACCCCAGCACTGATCCCCGCGGTGGTCTCCGCTTGAGGGTTTCTGCTCAGGAAGGTTGGGATTGTTTGCATCCTCTTGTCTCCCTTTCCAGTTTGGAAGGCATCGGTTTGGCCAGGGATCTAAAGAAGATTGTGGATTTTCTGTTTGTTCACTTCGTCCCTTGTCGTTAGGACGGAGGGGCCCCCGCCGACCTCCTGTTCAGTCCACGCGCGCAGAAAGCCTGGTACTATGTGTTGGCTTCAATTTACTCCGTCTTCCGTGGCGCACGCCTCAAAGGCTCCGGTTCCTCATCTTGCTCATTCCTTACGGCCCGGAAGGAGAGGTGTTACAGAC